AATGGCTACCATTTAGACATCTTGGATTGGACCAAGTTATTTTTTTTCTAACATTGGTCTCTGCTGCCTTCACATACATACCAAGTTTCATTGAGATCAGCTGGATCAACCCACAAATAAAAATGTTTACATATAAATTACCAAGTATCAGATATCTGATTAACGAAGCGATTTTGGAACTATTTCTCTGAGTTTGGCTGTTTACTTACGGGATACCCAATATATCGTACCCAAAGATTTCATATGGGTAATGATGTCATTTGTATATATATTTATACGTAGATGGATACATACCAATTCTAGGCCAAAAAGGAGGAGTAAGAAAATAAAATGAAATATTCCATTTTTGAACACAATTTTGCCATATTTTCGTCATTTTAGACCTATTTTCAGAGTTAAAAAAACCAAAAGAATAAACACATAATTTTGATGAATATTGTATATTAGTCCTAATTTCTATAACCTATAATAATATACCAACAATTAATTAATTTCTATAACGTTCTACCAAACTGACTAATGTTCTAAGCAATATCTCACTTGTACTTATAATAACAACTAACTGAGCAATGAAATATTGTTCATTGTAAGCTTCTGTAGGTAAAATCGTAAAATATAGACATTCACTCTCTTATGAGAGAATCAAGTTCAAAGACATTCGTTAAAAGTTGAACGTGTTAAATTTTTGAACGAACGAGAAGTTCTCCCAAGGCAGCGCTCTCTGTAAGAAAATTACCTTTCCAATTGGTTCAACGATATCGGTTGCCTGGAGCCGAACTCTCTTAGCCTTTATGTTTGAGTCAAAACTATGGTTTTCATAACAAACTGTTGGAAATATAGTTAAACTGTTAATTGTTAGTTGTTAGTTAATTGTCAAATGAGAGGGATAACAAATTTAACGGTGTAAAAGTACTAACATTGGGTTTAGTGTTGCAAATTGGGCATTTTAATTCGTCTCCGAGAACTAACAAATAATGAACCTTTTTACGTTTCAATCACAACTTTATAGCTGATAAAAATATAAGTAATTATACTGTAAAAACTAATATAATCTAAAAGCTTGTTTGAGACAATCTGGCCTCTTATATAAATAACTGCTAACTTGCAATATTTAAAATATATCTATAGCTGATCTATACGATAAAGATTATAACTTACTATAATAACTTAAATAATATGGAGGAACGCATTTGATGATAATTAAAGTTTCTAAACATCATCACATACGTTTACATTAAAAATACACTGCACGCAATGTTATTGCATTCAGAAAACGTTTCACAGCAGTGTATTTTGCAATTCGTTATAATTTCTCTCTGATTTATTACGGCTAAACAATTTTTTTTGTTGTTTTTTATTTTACAGGAAAATCGCTCAATGTAATTTTATTTTAAAAGACCTGTCTCAACAGTTCATTTGGTATATGGACCTTAACCAGTAATAATTAACTTAAAATTTCATTATTCGTTGACAAGTATGAAATTACTTACTTTTGTGTTCTAAATATCTCTGATTCCCATCGTTTTATTACATTTTTACTTGTTTTTCTCAGTGGGATAATTGTACTTGCTGTCGAAAACGACATTTGCATAACTTATGTATACTTTATTGAATATTTCCTATGGAGATGATTATTTTAGTGCCCATTTCTCATATAAGATAATAAAAAATTGGTATTAGTGCTTACTATATATTTTTCACAGCTAACCTACAGCCCGCAGCGGCCACTGTCAGTTTGAACGATGAATATAGACTTGTTATAAAGGGATGAAAATTCAGCATATTATAAGAATTCTTGTGTTTCTATTGGACCTAAAAGGCCAACAAGCTATTTCATGAACTACTAAGTATTTTTCTAAACATTATTTTACAATTTTAATATGAATTCAAACATACTATTTGAATTACAAAATAACTATCAATTTTATACGTGCTATTTCAAAATGTATATTTAATTGCAGTCAAACGTATAGATTTACCTATGATTAGGTCATAAACATAAATGAATTTAGTTTATAAAGTTGCATGAGCAAAGTTAAGGTTTAATTTAGTTTAGGCATGATAAAACTCTCAATTGATCAAACCACTGGTAATTTTGGCTCCTCGAAGCACCTAATGTCAAATTTTACTGCTTGTTAGTCTTTATATCGAAATAATTGGCTCTTTGATTTTATGGTTTCTTGGAGCTTTCAATAGAATAGTGACATAAATCATTTGTCTTATTATCATTTTTAATAATACGAAAATCTTAATTCTGAGCCATATAAATTAAACCTAGAAGGAGATTTTTTTTTAGTTTTACTTTCAATTTATTTTGGTCCAACAAAAAATATAACGTTTACTGCACATCAAAAGTCATACTAAATAAGAATAGATTTTTCTTTTAACTCATTTCCAATTGAATGATCCTTAAAATGTGAATAATAAATCCCTTAATTAATAATTACTAGTGGTCGTCCTGTGGTCGAAATTCAACCAAAAATAATTAATGTACAGACTTCTCTTTTCTCCCCACACTGTAAATAAAACATGTGATTGGAATTTCTTCCATTTGTTTTTATTTTCTGTTTACATTTTGTTGTTATTTCGTCACCATCATGGCAACCCATATGGTCCATGTTAATTTTTTGAAGTTTTCAAATTAATTTTTTGTTCTTATTTGTTAGCCTATTTTAATTTTTAAAAGCATTCTGCACATCTACAGGAAAATATCTTTCCAACGGTATGCGTAGATTTTCCCTGCGATGCACACGAGCTGATAAAAAAGGTTTTAAAGAAACATGCTTGCCTATTAATATATAGATAGATTTAACAAAAAATTACAGTTGTAAACAATAAAATGGTTTACTTGTACCCACAATGGTTATATCACTGGACCAAAATAAGGCACTCAATACTCGTGTATCAATCAATCTTTTAACTAAAGCTCGTGTTGTACTTACATTATCACTCCCTGGCCAGTCTTGCCAATGTTGGATTAAACAAAGTCCCACAGGGGAAATAACTGTGTCAAATAGATGCTACATATTTTATACTGCGTTCATCTTTTGCCTCATTTGCACTAAACGATTGCCTGGCTGTTTGTGGTCGTAGTAATATTCCTAGTGTTGATTGAACGTAGTTCTTAGAACATTAATTGTTATTTAAAATCAAATGGATTTCATAACAATATTTATTATTACTTGTTTGGAATAAGCAAAGTCATTTAGATCCAACTAAGTATATTGACTGAGTGTAAAGGCGTGGATGTGTTTTCTATGTACCAAAGATTTGATATTATAAATACTCTCAAGGTTATATTGAATAGGTGTAAAATAACGTGCCTAGGTAATAGTAACCTGACTTTTCTACGAGACGAAAATTGAAATCTCGTATCAATTGAGTGAAAACCCAATTGAGTTTATTATTTTTTTTTGTGACTAGACTTTTAAAAGACAAGTTCGCGAAAGCGTTCATCTGTTTTAATCACTATAATAGTCAAAGTTTGTATGTCTTTTCATGCTTATAAAATGCCTAGTGACTTATTACCTCTGAACTACAGACACATTTTATAAGCTTGCCTCACTCTTTCTCACAAACTGAATGTAGGGGTTATCTCTTAAGTTGCAGAAGTCTTGGTTGTCTTATTAATATTTATTGGATAATTAGTCATATGACAACACTTATTTGGATATTAGATTAGTTCTAGGGATTGTTTTTAAGAACTGATTGAAATGCTGTGTTACTTAGAGGCCTCCTGGCTCCTGGTCATATAAAATGTAATAGAAATTCAAAACCTAACTAAGTGCTAAACCTTTCCCTCTGAAAAGAATTGGCAGGGACGAATGCATATTTATTACCAGAATTTGATATATCATGTCAGTATTTAAAGTCATGTCGTTTTCTAAGAGTTATATATTATCTATTGATGTCTTACCTCTAAGCCATGGTAAACCTTAGGGGCTAACTGGCTCACCTAATGCTTCTCGCTCGCTGAACGCCTGTTTTATCTTTATGCTTAGACAAGAAGATAGCTTTACCTCCGACTAATATCAAACCATGGAGATTTATCTGTTAAAGTAGTGATAAATAATTTCATTTTAATCATTAAGATTTAATGGATGTTTACATTGAATTAAATATATGTATCAACAAGCGATGTACTATTTTAAATTAGTACTTTTGAATTGATTTATGTTACTCCTGACTACAACTGAACATACTGACAAATGGCGTTTACAACTCTACTTAGGCCAGATCAAGGTAATGTGTGTAGTTTACATGTATAAGATACAACTTTGGTTGGTCCAGATTTAGACTGAATACGAGGGTACAAAAGCAACACAGCAACACAACAAGATAACAACATACAACAGCAACATAGCAGCACAGCACTGCTACTGAGACCTCTTTAAATACCCTATGTCGGGGAAGATGCTGGCAAAGTTTCTATAATCAACGGGTACTTGATTTTTCTTTTATTAAAATAAAGTAGACTTGGATAGCGATATTTTTAGTATGTGGTTGTCTCAGCAAGTTCCGTTACTATGATGCAAATAACTTTAGATAATTGAAATATTTACAATCCTGGTTGCTTCCAACAGAACGCTCAATTAATACGGTCATAATAAAAGGTGTTAAAGTCACTTGCTTGACATTCATTATAAAAGTTGAAAATTTAATGCAGACGTAGTATTGTATACATCAAGTCATACAAAATTATTCATACATCGTTCTAGTGACAAATAAATCTCAAGGATCATTGACATATTGTTTTTTTATTTTTTTTTTAGGTACCGTTTGAAATCTTGTCCCTTGGTTTGTTTTATATTAAAGTTACCGGCTGTTAATCTTACTGTTAACCGTTTTACTATTTAAACCATATTTTCCTTCAACTTTTTTTAACACTCTCTGTACACTTAATGTTGAAAACAAAGACTTAAATTTACTTTTATGGAGGAACCATATGATCCTTCAACGATAGTAATAGATTAGTGGCAAATACACTGCAAGCATTTTTTTTATGGAAGAGAAATGTTGTTGACCGATGAGTTAGTGCTGAACGCTGATAACCTCGTCACTGCCATCAGCGTGTTGATGTCTGTATGTGCGTCAGCACTCAGCGTTTGCTGACGACAAACTGATACGAATAAACATCTAGTGTTGTTACTCACGTACATAAGAATATTACAAGCTATAGTACTCTGTATTGTGTTATAGTATCTTCCCGTGTCTACGTTTAAAATATGTCATCCAATTATAAGGATAAATAAAGGTAAACTACGACTAAATTTTATACTGTAATGTTTTATACATACAAATACATTATATCATAAAAATACAATATTCTAACCTGTTGATAAAATTAAATGTCCATAATGAATGGCATCAAGTACCTAAATGGATTTTTATACCGGGGTCAAGGCTCAGGGCACAAAAACGTTAAAGTAATACATACATTGCAAAAGCAGTATAGCATTATTAACAAAATACATAATAGCCTTGGTAAAAATAGTAAAATAGTTTAATGTATGTTTATACATGTAAATAAGCAAAGACTGTGTACACATTTGAAATTTATAATTTAATGTACTTTAAACCCTGGTATTTGTGTTATACAGAAAACTTGTGCATGTCTTGTAATCTTGTGTAACTCAACTAACTACTACAATAGGATCTCCATCTTTCAAGCGTCAAACTCACGAGACATAAGTTCTGATTGGTTCACTTAACTGATTGAAATCCTTTTATTAAACTGGTTCAATTTGTGGTTCACAACAGAACTGTTTGGGTATGATACTTTTACTTAGCCTTAATGCAACAGAGTTTGCGGTTATTTTGCCTTGTGAAATAAAGACTATATTGTGTCAAATTATAGCATAGCTTTTTGTAAAGGGAGTTCTAAGATAAAAGAACTGAGAGTACTTTCCTTACCATGGATTATTTATTTGTTTTATTTCACGACAAGTGAACATACAGTTAATGACGGGCTCCGGCTATCGAGGCATAGCAATATCACGTAGCTACAAGCCACTAGGTCATGTGGCCCAACAACTTAAGTAGTCCAGTCGTGCCTAATGTTATTTAAATAGGGAATAAATGTGATATTTTTAAGGAGACATTTTAGTGTAAATCCAATGAGGCAAATGGAAATTCGCTTAGTCTGCAGGTTTGCTGCGGTGGGGGTATTTTAAATACTAGAGTTGGTTTTAATGGTTTAGGTCCCTCTTTTGTTTTTGCCTTGTTACGTAGAAATATACCTTACGTACTTCGTCCAACTATGTGTAATTACTTTTACTACCTACATAGTAAAATACAGCATTGTATGATTTTCATGGCATAGGATAGTATTTGTAAATTTCGAAAGTTTTCGGTCTATAAAGAGGTTATAAAGAGTTCAAATGAGTCTTGTAATAATATGGGGTTACATTAAACCGAATAACAGGCTCTTGAATATCTTGGCGTTATCAAGTTAAATGGTCCGTAAAAAGTCGTCTTTCAGATATAATTAATATGATTGGTAGTGAAGTTAAACAATGAAGAATTATGTTAATTGACAAAAATGGTTTAGCTAAACAAAGATAAATAGAGATGAGCAGCAAAATAGTAGTAATATAATTTACTTAAATAAAAAAAATTCAATGGTATTACAGTTCTTGTTACGTAGTCATAAAGTTAGTACTATTAAGAACATCATGAGGAATCTCTCTGTAGCAGTTGTTCTAATCAAGTTGTTAAAAATAATATAATCTTATATATTAAAAAAATTTGGGTTTTCTTTTCCGTGTTTGTTTGGCTCTTCTACCCGACCGATTTTCATGATTGAGGTCTCAAATTGAAGCATTGGCATTGCCATCAAGCATTGGCATATAATTATTTAAAGTATCACTCGGTTTATACGTAAACTAAATTTGCTTCCCATGCATTTATTATGGGAGTTAAATTTGGTTTCTCTTTGCCGAGTTTGTTTAGCTCTTCTACTCGACCGATTTTCATTATTGAGGTCTCAAATTGAAGGTATGCACGCACAGATTAGCCATAAAGCATCGGCATTTATTTATCTATAACCCCACTCGGCATATTCGGAAACGAAATTTGCTCCTCATGTAGGCCTATGTATTATGGGAGTTAAATTTTATTTTTATTTGCCGAGTTCGTTTGGCTCTTCTACCCGACCGATCTTCATGATTGATGTCTCGAATTGAAGGTATGTACGCACAGATTTGCCATCAAGCATCGGCATATATTTATCTATAATCCCACTCGGTGTATACGGAAACGAAATTTGCTCCTCATGTAGGCCTATGTATTATGGGAGTTAAATTTGGGTTTTCTTTGCCGAGTTCGTTTGGCTCTTCTACCCGACCGATCTTCATGATTGGTGTCTCGAATTGAAGGTATGTACGCACAGATTTGCCATCAAGCATCGGCATATATTTATCTATAACCCCACTCGGCATATACGGAAACGAAATTTGCTCCTCATGTAGGCCTATGTATTATGGGAGTTAAATTTGGGTTTTCTTTGCCGAGTTCGTTTGGCTCTTCTACCCGACCGATCTTCATGATTGGTGTCTCGAATTGAAGGTATGTACGCACAGATTTGCCATCAAGCATCGGCATATATTTATCTATAACCCCACTCGGCATATACGGAAACGAAATTTGCTCCTCATGTAGGCCTATGTATTATGGGAGTTAAATTTGGGTTTTCTTTGCCGAGTTCGTTTGGCTCTTCTACCCGACCGATCTTCATGATTGATGTCTCGAATTGAAGGTATGTACGCACAGATTTGCCATCAAGCATCGGCATATATTTATCTATAATCCCACTCGGTGTATACGTAAATGAAATTTGCTCCACATGTATTTCTTATGGGAGTTAAATTTGGTTTCTCTTTTCCGAGTTCGTTTGGCTCTTCTACCCAACCGATTTTCATGATTGAGGTCTCAAATTGAAGTTATACAAAAAAATGAATGATAAAAAATGAATTTAAATTCTGTATGGTGTGTACAAAACTATCCACTAGGTTGCAGCTCCAATGCTATGTAAATCTGTTTGTAAAATCCAAAAAGCTACTGTCTTTTTTCAGTTTATAATTATAATCACCATTGTTTAAAAAGATGGCTTTACCGTTGGTATAAAAACTGCTTTTGTAATGGCCACCAAATGATGAATGTTTTATAGATGTTATGTAATTTTGAGATTATGCTGTTGTGTTTCTGGTGTGACTCTGGGTGTTGTTCTGCTAGTGCTTGTGCTACAGTTTACATTATGAGTAAGTACTTACAAGTAACTATTTATTAAAATTAATACTACTTTGAACGTGTATTATAACACAGGTGTTTAAACAATATGTGTTTTTAACAATTGATGTAGTACCTTATTGGTAAATCTTGTGCGAATATAATTAGGGTTTTTGAGGTTAAATAAAAAACACTAGGTTTATTCCGAGACATATATATATTTAACCTATTGTTTTTAAACTCCCTACAACCTGTACAACCTGTACGCGCAATCGGGACATAGTGTTTGACCACAGGGTTGTAAAGCGCTAGTAGGTGCGTGTTCCAAACATATCTGACATGCCGCTGAGTCGATTGGTGATACCGATGGCCGCGGGATTCTTTCCGTTATTAAGTTATCCATCTGACTAGTAGCTTGCCTCAGCACTCCCTCCAAAGTGCTGCGGAGGTCCTCCCATAGAGCAGATATTACTGTAGGTTGCAGCCCGCAAGCATAGGAGTATCCCTCAAGTGTATTTCCAGCCAATTCAGCAATAGTTAGGAGTTCGGTTGTAAGTGTAGAAATTCTACCAGCTGCAGGTAGAGTAAATGCTGGATTGTTCATAGACTGAAAGATATTACACAAGGATTAATGTTTTTACCTATTCATATAAAATAGTATATTACCAAATCTGTATAAAACCACTAGCTAAAGGATTAAAAACTACTAATCAGCTGATTGGTGTCTGGTAAAATTTATTACAGTAGCACGTAATGAAACCCCCCCAATTGATTAAGCTGGTAGCAAACAGCTGTTTTGGACTAAATCTTTGCGTAGGAAGTTTGTCAAAATAGTGTAGTTTAAATAATTAACTCATTTATAGTTACACTCAATTTCACTTGAAAGGATGCTTACTCTATGGATTAATCTCCTGCGAAAAGTTTCAATCCGAGCTCCACGACGACAACTACGACATTCATGCTCCTCAGGTACAGTCTCAGTACATGCAAGACTCTGAAAACATAAATAAGTAAAAATAGAAACATATATATATATATATATATTAGTTATGTAAGCTGATTTTGCATCAAAATTGTGGGTGACGGGGAGAGGGCTTAAATTAAAGGTCCTATGATGGTGGGAAAAATAGTGGAACTCTTAAAATTAGATACAACGTAAAATGTCTTTCATAATAATAGCAATAGAAGCCATTTACTTCAATACAGTTGATCGTGATTTATTATTAAGCAATGTTACATTTGGATTTGCCAGTCAATTTTGCAATATACTGTATAAAACCAGAGGAAGTCTTCTCTTCCAATTTAAAGGTTATTGTTGAAGGAATGTTTAATATGAAATAACCGAGTGAAAAAACTAATAAACCTCCGAAGTAATTATTTATTGAAAACCACACTAACAAAGACAAATAAAAAGTATGGTGTATTAGGATATCTATGCTGATGCATAAAGGATTTGATTCTGAGTTTGTTAAAATATTTGTTTTGTATTTGTACTTTTTTGTGTCCCTGGAAAACACTAGTATTACTCTTATATGTCTTGTAATGTTAAAACACTCATATACTTACCACAGGTTGTACACGTCTGGATGGCTGTGTTGGTCCAGATAATTCTGTAGTCATTGCCCGCCGCATTGCAACATCGGCTAGAGTATCCAGCCCGCTACTTGATGATCTATTCACCGTTAGCCAAACTCCATCTGTTGAAGGTCTTGTAGCTGAAGCTGTAGTTGAAGGAGATGTATTCAAAGGTATTGTATGAAGTGTAGTTGTAGCTGGAGGTACTATTGCTACAGGTCTAGTAATAGAAGTTATGGTAAGAGATGGCTGTGAAAACAAAACAAGTATTAGTAATAGCTCAAGTGTTATTAAAATAATATTAAATTGTTTGGGTAATGTTACCTACATTCTCTGGTGATAACATCCTTAAGAATTCTTGGGGTTCCAGAGAGAGCTCGTTTGTAAATGCTTCTTCCGGGAAACCCACAACAGGCCTTGAAGTTGAAGGTAGGGTTGTCAAATCCCTTTCATTAAATACACTCTTTTTTCTGAAACAAATAAACTTAAAATGTAAATGTGTACAAGAACTCCTTAAACTATCAGATTCTCTATTTCAAAATATACCCACCATAAGAAGGTGTATAGTCCATGTAACCTCGTGTTATTCTTGAACTCATCAGGTAGTCATCGACAGATGTTTCATGTGATGCTGATGAATATAGTTTTTTACACACAATACAGAATTTAAATTCATTTTTTATCTACCCTAATAAGAACATCAGATGATATTCACATAAGTTATAGGGTTTACCGTTAAGGTACAGCATCAATAATATACAATCAAACTAGTATTTAGTTAGAGACTAAAGTTAAATACGACTTACCTCAATCATTTACAAGTGCTACACTGTGATGGAATGCACAACAATATCATTATCAACGATAACTACATTATCAAAGATAACGCTATCAATATTGATGGTAATAACGTTATCAGCGATTGACCTTCGCTAATCGCTTGATACACACTAACGTTGTGTTGAGACTTTATACGCTGGGATTATTATTTACCGCTATAAACACTGGACCTGTAACTGACGTCGTAGCCCAATTGATAAGGCTTCGGACCTTCATCTACTAGGTCCGAGGTCGATCCCCGGTCACACTTTTTATCCATAACTAAATAAACAAAAATAGTTTAATAATTAATTTAAAAGGTACCAAATGAGGTCACGTCACATGGTTTTCATCCCCTACATACCCCCCAACAACCTAAGATACTACCCCTAACAGCTAGAAATTAATTTACTGTATCTACCACCCCTAGAAAACTACCCCTGCCCGATCCGGGCCACCCCTACTGTATTACTCAATCAAAAATCATAAATTAAATTATTTCTCGGATATTATATTTATTTTAAAGCTGCAGAGCAGCATGGGTCCTCTAGTTAGCTTTATTTTCATATAACTTTATATTAGCGAATTTCCCTATAGGGTAGTAGCTATTACCGTAGGTGGCATGTTAAGACCTAGGCCCGGGACCGATTTACTTTTTCATTTACAATTAAAATTGGTTAAAATTGTTTTATACATATAAATTGCTATATATGTGTCCGTGAACGTGATTACTCGAGTAATTTTTGTCCGATTTTGATAAATTTTGTTTCAAGGTGTAAGGCGGGATAAACTTGAATAGGTTCGCGAACCGGCATGATCGGACCATGAGAACGGGGTTTTATGGGGGTTTTTATGGGGTAATAATGGGTTTTTCTAAATTTTGACCCTCAAAACACAATATTTGCCAATTTCTCTCTAGACCTTTTTAAAAAGCTTAAAAAACAAATAATTTAGTACCTATTTCAAAGGATTTTCACACGGTTATTGGTAACGAAGAAAATTCAAAAAAATTGAAAATTTAAAATTCCAATGTTATTCTTATAAAGAATATTGTTAAAACCTACATTTATTCGAACGAGTTCGCGAACCAGCATGATCGGACTATGCGAACGGGGGCTTACGGGGGTTTTTTTGGGGTAAAAATTGCTTTTTCCCATTTTGACAAAAAAAAACAAAAAAACATAAAATATGGCAATTTCTTTAGGAACCGTTTTGTAGAGCTTAAAAAACAAATAATTTAGTATATTGAATCGTTGTTATGTGCCTAATGGTTACGGGGAAAATTCAAAAAATTGTAAATTTAAAATTCCCATGTTATTCTTATGAAGAATAAGTCAAATGTTGTACTTTTCTTGTTTATGAACATATTTTGATCAAATTTTTAAAATGCATTCATTTCATACTAAACTATTAAAATAAATAAAAATAAAACACTTTTACCCTCCCTGTTGCAGAAACCTAAGTACTAACTCTATTAAAATATGGAATAAATGTGATATTTTTAAGGAGACATTTTAGTGTAAATCCAATCAGGCAAATGGAAATTTGCTTAGTCTGCAGGTTTGCTGCGGCGGGGTTTTTTATAGAACTATTAATCTACGATATGAAATGTATAAAATAGCACGATTTTAGAGTTCCTACCTAGTTCCTGGTTATTAATTCAGAGCGATATCACCAGGCTCCTATAAGCTGGTTGAACATCATATTAACCAAGTATGCAATTTACTTCGAAACTAAAAAATAAAAATACGTAGAATTTATCGTGGAATTAACGGAGCCGTATATTTCCATTACCACTCTGTGGGTGGTTCCTTCCCTTTACTTATACCCAAAAAACCTTGTGATGAATTTTAAACCTTTTATAAAATAAGGCAGATATTCACTGTACATTTATGATTGTGTGGATATGTTCCTGGAGATTAACGAATTATATACTTTTGTTAACATGCACCATCCTAACAAAAGGGGCTAGAACCTGGGGTATCTATTGGATACTGTAGTCTAAGTACAATATACTTTTCTACAAGTATAATAAAAATTATTTTATGTATAAATATTCAAAGTTGCGTTTTACAGAATGGTGATCGTTTTATGAAGTTCAACAATACAGTTGGTTATCTAGTATACAGAGTGTTCAAAACAATTGGGAACATACAACTTAAAATCTTAATATTTCAGCTATTTTTCATTCGATCTTTTCAAACTTGGTTGCGTTTGGTTGGGGAATCAAAAATGCCAAATAAAAGTGTCCTTCAAATTTTTTTCATAAAACCTGCCATTTTTTTTTTTTAATCTAAAGTTTTTTGTAGTATATAAGTTTGAACAATTAAAATGGCCGCCATCTTGATGTTTAAAGTTTAATCAAGATTACTTTTTTCCACCATGGGGCTCTTCTACCTTAACATACACACTAAGTTTCATAAAGATCAGTTGAAAAAAATCTATGATATTAATGTTTATGTAAAAAATACAAAATAGTGGATATCTGGTTACGAAGTGATTTTGAAGAGAAAAAAACTATTATTATTCTTGATTTTCTCTTTATTTTGACCGAACGAATCACTACGTAAATTATGTTCCCACCTTTTTTGAACACCATGTATAAGTTGGTATGATAATTTATATGAAATATGTAAAAAAAAACAAAGAAGCTTACCGTATAGCTGAAATACCGGATAGCCTAATGATATTTAATTTCATGGCTTGTGTTTCCAAAAGTTTTGGTATAAAAATATTTGTTTCTGAAAATGTTGAGGAATTGTAAACCATAAGAATTTGACTCTAATCAAAACCACTATAACACTAAGTAAAATACTTCACACTTATTATTTTCACATAACGACAATACTGTAGTTTTTTTTCAGAACATTTACACACTTCAGTATAAACCGAAAATCTAGATATGTGAAATAGATGTGGATCAGGAATGCATCGAATTATACTATTTATTCCTTGTCTGTCGCACCTAGTCAACAAATCATCTTGTTTGCAGCTTACCTTCATATTGTTTTTTATTGACTCACTAATTATTGTCCGTAAACAACCATGGAAGCTCCAAAAAGTGTTTAATTAAAATGTATTTTCGATATACGATATCAAGAGCCATGCCACATGGAAGTATTTCCCGGTTTTATATTCAATGATGTAAAATATATACACAGTCTGTCTCCAAGCTTATAAATTACTACATAGCGAAATCTATAGTCAAATCAAATCAAATTATTTTATTGAGCTAAGTTGACAATACATTGCATTAGCTAAGTCAAACATAATAATTTAAATAAATCTAATCTCAGGTGGAAATCGATACTAACATGGTCTGAGACATTTTAAATAAGCTATCACTTCCAAAACAATAAGTTAAACATACATCGATTTAACAATGAGTTTTAATTAAAACAGCTCTTTTATGTAAAAGCTTGCTACAGTCCAGTAACATAGATTGCAGATTAATGTTTGCAGCATGTGGCGAATACTGCCGAGATTTGCATAGGCTCAGCCACATTTGTATGTATGATTCAGTTTCATTTAATTGTCATCATTTATAAGTTAGTATTGTGAGGTTTTATTTATTTAGAATTATTATATATTTTACAATGGTTAAAATGTGTATCAAACGACTGCGCGTCTTACTAAGTAAACTTGGTACGCTCATTTAACTTAAAATAGTTCTAACTCGTAAATACCTTATTGTATGGTTAATAAAAATGCAGCTGTTTTTACTATCATGTTACTGTAAATATTTTAATAAACACACTACATTACTTTCCCTATATAAAATAACTACTTGCTTAAAACAGTCAGAAAATACTGCATATCACAGTATTTATTTACAATATCAACTAAGCGTAGTAGAATGAGCCGAACTGTTTCAATTAATGTGTCATCAGATTCCAGCAAATATGGTTGATCAGCTGATCTCTGATGATGTATAATAACTGTGATGGTGACTACAGCAAAGTAATGTTACCAACCTGTTTATGAATTCTTTGATTTATTATGATTTGTTTATTTATTTTTTGAGCGGAGCGAGCGAAGCGAGCGAAGCTCTTATACGTCGATTTTTATGCATTTCGTAATACGCAAACTCCTCCTAGACGGCTGAATCAATCGTTTTCAAATTTTGCATGGCGATAAAGACCATATCGGTGAGTGCCAACATCTATATGGCGTTAAAAAAGTCTCTCAGGAATCCGCCCCACTGGGTCTCAAAGTTTCAATGTAATCCTTATGGAAGCAGTATTTGACACATAAACAATGACATATGATCAGCTGTTGACTTTTGAATGCAGTAGATAAATAAATAGCTGATAGCATTATTCCACAGATATTAGAACATAAACGGTGGTATGAATCATAAATATAATCAAATGACGACACTAGCTTGAGGTCCGTGACGTAGTATGTGGTGAAGGAAGTATAGTAAAGGTGAGCAGTCTGGAGTGTGGAAACTTTATAAACGATTATATTTGGTAGGTATCTGCATTCCTAAAATTCTATTGGAAGGGAGAAAGACGGGTCAGTGACGTAGGAAGTGGTGAAGGAAGTAGTAAAGGCGAGCTGTCCGGAGTGTGGGAACTGTTCATGCCAATTAGATTATGGTATCTGCAATCCTAAAATGCTATGGGAAGGGAGGAGAACAGGTCCACGACGTAGGAAGTGGTGAAGGAAATAGCCAAGGCGAGCTGTTCGGGGTATGGGATCTGTTTATGACCATTAGATTAAGGTATTTGCACTCCTAAATTGCTATGGGAAGGGAGGAAAACAGGCCCGCGACGTAGGAAGTGGTGAAGGAAATAGTCAAGGTGAGCTGTCCGGAGTGTAGAAACTGCTTATGACTATTAGATTAAGGTATCTACAATCCTAAAATGCTATGGGACGGGAGGAATACAGGTCCGCGATGTACGGAGTGGTGAAGGAAGTAGTCAAGGTGAGCTGTTCGGATTGTGGTATCTGTTTATGACCAATAGATTAAGGTATCTCCAATCCTAAAATGCTATGGAAAGGGAGGGAAACATGTCCGTGACGTAGGAAGTGGTGAAGGAAGTAAAGGCGAGTTGTCCGGAGTGTGGGATCTGTTTATGATTAATAGATTAAGGTATTTGCAATTTAATAATGCTATGGGAAGGGAGGTAAACAGGTCCGTGACGTAGGAAGAGATGAAGGAAGTAGTAAAGGCGAGTTTTTCGGAGTGTGGGAACTGTTTATGACGATTAGATTAAGGTATCTTGGTATCTACAATCTTAAAATTCTATGGGAAGAGAGGGAAACAGGTCTGCG